TGAAAAAGACAGTTCTTCTTAGATGATGAAGTGTGAAAACGGAGATAAAAAAATATTACTGTTTCTTTGTCATACTGCCTACTTTTCTTTGGAAGTAAGTACAGCCTGCCTCAACGCCCTTTGACCTTGCAAAATATTTGTATCTCTTTAGCAAAAATCTTTAATGTATCTTGCCAAGCTTTTTTCTCTAATGTACACAATGGAGTTCTATGATGGGTTGAGCTTTCTCTCTTAAAGTGCAGCTGCATCGTCAAGAAAACTCAACAGTTAATTCTTCAAGTCCTCTTTTTCACATGGGTATTGCATCACTGTTAATTACTGTTGGGGTACTGTGACTCATTTGTATCAGTCAACTTTATCTTTCGCTGCCAAAAGACAGCATCTCTCTGGAGAAACTCATAACAAGTGTGGCAAACATCAAATATTTGGAGCGAATGGTGTACATAAAACTGCACAGAATTAAAAAATAAAGCAACTCCTCCTGCTTTCTTGAGAGAAAAGTTCAGTCACAATAACAACATCCTCTGATTTACCCAGCAGTCTTCTGCAACTACAAAACAATCTGTTTTTCAGTCTGCATCCAAAACAGAGAGCTGCCACGAGTGTTTATACTAAAAGCCAAAAAAAGAAAAATCAGCCTCCAGTTGTGCCTGCATTAGCCAAACGTAAATAAAAGTATCTTCTGTGAAATGCAACCCAAACTCCACTGCAGCACAGGCCAGACTTCTGATGACCTGTTAATAACTACAGCTGTGGTTTTGCTGCTTACCGAATTGCATGCCAAATAATAATGGTAGATGGCTACAAAAAATGAAGCGTGAGTCGATGAGTGACAGAGCGTGTCCTTTGGTTTTGATATCACCACTTTTTCAATGAATGTACTTATTGCTACTCTGCTGTTTGATGGTCATTGTGTCCCCCAACCTGCTGAGTATAGCAAGGACAATGGTAAATCTTCACAAGATTTTAAAAAATTTTTATTCCTAGTTATTTTACAGTCTTTGTCATGAGAGGCGTTTTATGTCTCTCCCTTTCATTTCCCTGTTTTCAAGATTCCATCAGCAAGGTAAGCCACCTTTACTGAAGTGCTTTACTACACGAATTTCTCAGAAGCAGCCCCCAGACGCTGGTTCTCGCAGCATGCAGTTCCTCATTCTGCGACAAGCAGAAACTGCTCAGCAGGCCGAGTTTCTGTGAGCTTGACCTCCATAGGAAAGACGAGGGGGCTGAACTCTGTTATATCTTACAAGTATCCTCAGCTCTCTGGAAAATTTTCAATCCCACGATTAATTGAGCAAATCTTTTATGCCTCTGCCCTCTGTTCTTAAACTGAAAAGAGTGACCGATGTTATTGTGGCTGATGGTTAATGTCTCACTGTGATTGGCACACGGCTCCTGTCCTGTAGCTTCCCTAACCTCCCAAAATGGAGGATGTATGTTATATAGATAACACTTCTACTTTTTCTTGTCACTTCATGATGTACAAGATGCGTTGGGTAGGAAAGGGCATGTGATCTCTTCTCTCTCTGATGGTGTCAGCTGGGATTCAAGGCTTCACTTGCACCAGTTTTTTCAAGGTAGGTGAATCCAGCAAAGTGTCCCTTCTACTTTAGGAAAAGATGAAAGATAAGGTGCCTGAATTGTAACTGCATGATCATATTTTTGGTGCATGTCATATTCTTTAAGGGTATGGACTATATTGACCGAACAGGAGGTACAAAGATGTTGTCTTGCTGCAATTAGGCAACCACCCTGAAGGCAGTCCATCCTTCAGACAGGTGCTGATTCCTGTAAGGGAAGTGGGGGACTTGCAAAGAAGTAGCTCTTTCCTTCTCTTTTCATGGTGGTTTCGGCGAGTTGTTCATTTTAGAAGCCACTCCAACCCAGCCTATCTGTTGCAGGATGTCAGTAGGATTCATTTATCTGCTCCACCAACCAACCTTACAGCAACTGGAAACAGTTCCTGAAGATGCAGGTAGGTGCCTTAAAACAGTGTTTCTTCCTCCTCCCTTTCCCCAGACAGGCACTGAGAAAACCCTATCATGTGCAGTCTTTTCCCATCATCAATGATGTGACCTGACAGCAAATCCAATATGGTAAGCAAGCTGCTCCCAGCACCTTGTCCAAAAGCCTGACAAGGCTCTGGAGTGGATTCAGGGGCTCCGAGAAGGTGCCTTCAGCCCCACACCTCAGAGCAGCCTTCACCTAGCATGAGGTGGGTACACAAAGGCAACCAGGAGGCAGAGATATGCTGGCAGAAGACATGCAGAAGTTCTGCTGCTCAGTCCTGCTTGAGCCCTGTTTGTACCTTCCCCTTGGGGCAAGTACAGATGGGGAGAACCACTCAGCTTTTCAGCTGGGGAACTCTTCCTCCTCTCCCCTCCCTCCCCTCTAATTAACAAAAAAGTAATTAAAAGCCGTGCATGTGATTCAGAATGGCACTAATGGACAAGAAAGTCCAGCTGCAATATTTGGGAAGACCCAATAAAAGATTCATTAGGATTCTTTTAGTTATTGGAAGTCCTCATGACACGAAAGAGCCTAATGAAACAGAAGACGTGGTCACAAGAGCGATGAGTTAAAAAAAAAACGAACCAAAATCCCAACCCCACTGACACCATTCTAAAAATTAGACAATTAAGAGTAAAACCAGGAATGTAGCCAGAACTATTCCACCTCAAATAATAAACACAAGGATAAGTTGCCAAGTGAGGTCAAAGAAGCAAATGGTAAAGTGAGTTTAAGAGACAGCTAGACACTTTTATGGGGAGAGAGGGGATTGAAGGATACAGTGACAAAACCGGGGGTAGGGTTGAGATAAACCCGGAGGACAGGCACGGTGGGCCAATAGCCTCAGCGAGTGCTCTGAGCCCCAGTTGCTCAGTGGAGGAGCAGAGCAGCTCCTGGCATTCGAAGGAGACTTACGGGGTTGTCGGCAGTGTCCTGTGAGGGACGAAGGGAAACTGCCAGAACAATTTGAAAGGGAGATGAGCCTGGCAGACAGAAATGGGTGTGCTCTCAATGCACTGGTCTCAAGTGCTGCCCTTGGTTTCACTAGTCAGATGCCCTGGCAGACTTGCTAAAAACAGGTTTTTGAAGAACCCCTGCCCAAGCAGCCTGTCTTCTTGCGAGTTACCTATGCAAAGCATTTAAAGAGACACCAAAAGAAAAACAGAAAGAAGAAAATGGGTTTATTTCTTCCATTTTCATGAAAGACTACTATAGGTAAGAAGAGAGTTGGCTAGAATGGGATTCAAACGAGGCAAAGACATAATATACAAAGGTTATGTTCTTCTCTGCTTGTTGGAAGCTTTGCATACTTTCATGTTGT